TTATAACAAAAATTTTTTTAAAAGCATTCATGCTCAAGTCTGCATGTTACTCAACATAAGCTTCTTTCCAATGGATAGAAATACATTTTTATCTGAACTTTACAATTTAGGAATGTGCTATTTTTTAACAACATAAATTAAGAGCAAATATTAAATACTACAGAGTGTGAGTAATTTTTGGTTTTTCCGATACGATTTTTTTGGGATCAGCACGGTTGATAAAGCACAATTTTTTTTAAAGGAAAAACCGTAATTTTTTTGTAGACAAGCATCACCTTTAAAGAAATTTTTTATGCTTGGAAAAGATTTTCTAGAGAAATGTCAGAGAGAAATTTTTTTATTTTCTCACGCTATAATTTTTGCTTCGGACATTTTTTTTGCTCTGATTTATAATCAAAGATGACGGTAATAATGTTAAGTATACAAATTTGTGTGTTTATAAATTTTAAGTATAACTTTTCATGGGCACATAAAAAAAGTTTTTATAAAAATTTGGATTCACTGTAAAGATTCACTAAAAAATAATTTTTTCCGAACAGTGGGATCACTTGTTAGCGCCTAAATTATCACCTCTTGTCTCTGATCCGATCGTATATAGATAGAAAAGTATCTCTTAATTTTTACCACGTGACAATGACACAGAGACGCTTCACTGAAAGTCGGCTAACGCAGCGGAGCGATGCACCGAGTTGAGGACACAAACTTTCTATTCTAAAATGTATGGAAGCGCTAGAAAGTAAACGGTGCTCTACTTTTTTCACATTATTTTTCAAGCATTAGGGTTAATCATTTTTCCGCTTGACGAATAATGGTAAATAAACGCAGTACGCCGATTTTAACAGATGCACAAGTTGGGACAGGTCAAAGAGTTTGTACGCTGTTAAAATCAAGTCATTATTCTATACGAGAAAGATATTGATTCATTGATTATAATCAGAAGTGGGTACTAGTTATGTTAAAATTTTCAATGGTTTGAAATAAAGTTTCCATAAAAAATGCAATGTATTTTTCTGGAAACAATTTTTTTGCTCCACTGTTTACAATATAAAAATAGTACAATACATTTAAGTACGTATTTTTTTGAGACAATAAATAATATTTTGAAATGTTTAAAGAAATATTTGATTGATTGAGTTTAACTGCCACGTTGTTATTAAGCACCCTGAACCTTTAGAATCCTACGTAACAAAATGCTTTGACATCTTCTTTTGTACAATAAATTATGGAAACACTTGAAAAAAAAATTTTTTTTACCTACTTCTAGAAGAGCTAAAAAAATGTTTGTTCTGATTAGATAATCAACCTCTATATTTAAGTTGAAAAAAAAGTTTCAAACTTAGTAGAAAGAAATATCTAAATATGGCCTACAGATACCCAGAGCCAATAAAATAATGGTTTTACGTCGATGACTGGTCTTACATTAATTGTCTGTCTCTACTTAATTGTAGAGACGATGAACTCTTGTAAGTTGGAAGACAAATAGATACACTCTTTGAACTTTTCGGTTCAACTGTAGATGGAAAGTACAACTACTTTTAAAGTCACAATTAAAACATTTATAAATTTATTAACAATGTATATACTCACAATTGATAAAAGCGTAAGTCACCAAACTATTTAGTTTTAAAAACTTCTGAACAGCTAAAGGCACAAAACTAGCGTCTATTTTTTTTTCTTTTATCAAAAACTATTTAAATAGTGCTCGTACCGAAAACCACCCCCACGATGGCACGATGAAACAAATTTACTTATCTATCGAAAAAACATGTATGCTACTGTATACGTGAACGTACGATGCTTTTTGTGTAAAAAAAAATCATAGTAATAATAAAAAAATATTTTGAGTGACGAAGCGCACGTATTTTTTTCATGCAAATATATAAACACACAATCGGCCAATCGATTAGATTTTCGCTCGAAACGTCACCAGCTAGCGTGTTTCGCTCGTTGAACTTCGCTCCACGAATTTTTTCATCTGTCGAATTTTTACTTCCCTTTATTTCGATAGCAACAATGACCATTTTATTGTTCGACTACATGGGAATAGATAAAAGCGTCAGTGAAAAATTGCGAGCTCTATTCATCTGTGTCTTTTTTTTTCTTTTTTTTTTTTTTTTTTTTTTTTTTTTCACTACCATCGATTTCGCGTTTACTGGCGCTGTTTGCCACCGAAACAACGAAAACGAAACTCGTGATTAGCTCCGTGATTAAATTCACAAAAACGACGTTACGGTGATTCAATTTTGGACTATATTGTACGATCGCCATAGGCTTTCAATGGAACTGTACTGTCGTACTGTCCCTCCCGCGATAGATCGACGGTTTCCGATAGAGCACTACCAATGATTGTCACCGTCCAATGCTCGGGATTTCGATAATTGGTAGGTGCACTACCGCGCCGATGTGAACAACGTGAGTATAAAAATATAGTAGAATAGAAAAAAAAAAAAAAAAAACAGGGCATAGTTGGGCACAACTTACGTGATCGATGTTGATCTCTCCCTTGTACATGAACTCGACGAGTACCTTGATGTCGGCGAATTTGACGTCACGCATGATGACGATTGGATCTTTTTCCTCGTATTGTGACAAGATCGTATCGAAGTATGTGCTACACGCAGACAGGACGACCTGCACAGAGAAATGGAAAAAATACGTGAAAATAACACATTGTGTAGAAAATAAAAAGTAGACGAGAGAAAAATAAAAGTTTATCACTCGTGTGTGACACGAAATCGATTTTACTTCTTTTTTCTTTTTTTTTTGTCCTTGTTTTATTTGCTTTTTTCTCGTTTGATGAGGGGAATATAGGATGATTTTTTTTTTTTTTTTTTAATTACTTATTTTTGTTTTGTGAATCGTGCATTTTTTTTTAATCGTTTTTGGGTCGAGTTTGAAGTGCATCCACTCGGAAAAACGTTTGACAGACGCTCGAAATTTTGCCACTCCAAAGGATTTTTTACGCTCTGTTTTGGCGCAGACTATCGATTTGTTGGATTTTTTTTTTCGATGGCTTTTTTTAGCGACATGAAATTTGTTCGTATTTAAAAGCAAGTTTGAAAACTTTAAGGGCTCGATTTATGAAAAATTCAGTAAGTTTTCTCATGTAGCATACGTCAATAGTTACCTAAACGAAATAACTTATAGAGATTTGGATCGAAGAAATTTCACGAAACTCATTTTTTCTCTAATTTTTTGAACAATGATGACTCAGTGTTCTTAAGATAAAATGAGTTTTTTTTTTGTTTTTTTTTATACTGACAAATAAAGTAACAATACTGCTGCTATAATAAAAAAAAATTTTTTTGAGTTAAATACTTTTTAAACCCAAAGCTGCATTAGCCATTGATATATTTTTAGCCTAGATCCTTCTACTTATGTACGATATCCAACACGTACTTTTTATATCATCCCAACAAATCAAAATAGAAAGTTGACCAAACAGTCCGATTATAATTATTTTTATTTCGCTCGCTCAAGATCACAAACTCCAACAAATTAAATTTTACCATAAGTCAACTAAACACGTACCTCGTTCATAAACTTTGAATTACACTCTAAAATCACTTTTTCATTATTAGAAAGTCTGGCATGCAAAATTTCTCTCTAGTCGAAACGCAACTTGTAGGAGCCGCACGGTGAAATCGAAAATTTTTATCAGATGTACAGGTGTTTGTGTGTACCTGCATGTGCCTATACCAACCACATTTTTACCTCGACGGTAGGCAAAAAATGAAAAAAAATGTTGTGTTTCTTGTGTAATGAAATTCTTTAGCAAATTTGTGTCATTGTGTCAATTAGCAACATGTGTCAATGCATAGAAAAAACATTTATTCTTTAAAAAATTTTCAAACGGTTGCCAAACTTAAATAATAAAAATAGATAAATAAAAAATCACAAGTGTAACCCATTGTTGTTGAAAAAATTTGACCAACATTTGCTAATCTAGTGTCACCATCCTTGATATAATTTTTTGTTTGTCACTAAAAAAAAGGATTTTTTTCTGTACTTCCTTGTATAAATAAGTACGTAGTAACGGGTACAAAATGGAATTTTTTTATGGTGTATAGTATATATTAAATGTATAAACAAGGTGTCGAAGAAAAGAGTAAGACCGCCAAGCCGAGGCCAGTCAATAGCTTGAATATTTAATACCAGGACTCCCGTCCCCACCTCCCCTTCGCGGACTATTGATTTTCTCGATTTTTATGTCTCCGCAAATAAGACCGCCCCGCCACACCGTTTCCTCCTTTCCGCCCACTCCGCGGGATGTACTCCCTCTCCACGGCCGTATAACGCTCTATTATGGCTTCCGACGTTTTTTACGCGGCCGAGCGAGCGACGGCGCAAAGGGGGAACACGGTGGTATGAAAAAATAAATTATACTCGCGAAACTGCCGAGGGCGGTGGGGGAAGAGGGGAGAGACGCTTTTCGCATCGGCTTCTTCATTACGGGCCTCCTTTTTCTTCCTCGCTCCTTGATCGCCGGATGCTACTGCGCGGCAGCTCTGGGCACTGAGGCGTTTTATTTTGTCGAACAAGGATCTGCGTTCCTGTGTCTCGTGAGATCGCGATCTGGATAGTTGGAGGGTGGGAGGATATAATATATGCGTGCGCAAACGAGGGGTGGGAGAATCTTTGATTTAAATGATGCATAGAAACACATTTTTTCATTCTACTTGGTCCAGCAGGTGGAGTATCATTGAATATTGGACATTTATTTTTTTTTCTTTTATCTATAAACGAAATTTAACAAGAATATAATTATTGCATGATAAAGATACGGAGTGGGGGGGGGGGGGTGACAATCGTGACGATGTGCACAAAAAATTTTTTTTCTCAATTTTCAACCTAATAATTTTCTTTTGTGTAAAATACTAATAAGAAGTATTGTGGCATTGTTCAGATATTTGTGTGGTTCATTCACGAGCGAGGGTTTACTGTCTGCCAAAGGCTGGGTTTTCATTTGTCGTGTTGTTTTGGATTTTTGGAATTTCGGGGCCCTCGGGAGATTAAAAAGGGTTGATTAAAGAGCACCGAAAGTACGTGGATGTGCGCGCTTGCGATCGAATTTTGGCTTATTTTCAAAGCGCCGCGGGAGATCGAGGAGGTGCCCTTTGCTCTCTGTGTACTGGCCTATGACGCTTCGATGGAGGCGGGAAAACATGTTTGAATTTTTTTTTTCTCGTAGACTCTTGGCATTCAAAAAATGAGGTGGTCGTTTGCGAGCTTTGATAATTTTTTTTTTTTTTCTATTTTTTCAGTTTCTAGAATATAAATGGGTATGATTTTTTTTAAAGTTTTAATATGTATGAATACTTGACTACACAGAAAAACAAATTATAAAAATTACTGTGCTTTAGTGGAAATTTAGCAGCACTAGCAACATACTTGTTATTAGATAGTAATTCATACTCTATATCCAGTAAAAATTACTGTACTTGCGATAAAAATTACTGTTTTTGATATTAAAAATTATTGTAGAAACAGTAAAAAGTCGTTAAATAATTGAGTAATGAAAAATTACTATTCCAGCCCAGCCATATTAAAAATTTTTTTTTCTCACTGTACTAATGTGTAGTCCAATTTGCAAAGCTAGTACGTTAGAGACAAAGACTTTAAACTTTGATATTTTTAGATCGTTAAAGTTGCTTTCTGACTTTTTTTTCCAAAAACAGTGGTATTTTAATTTATCAAAATAAAATAGTTATCCATAAAAGTCGGAATGTAATTGTTACTCCAAAATCGGAGGTTTTCTTTTCTTTCCTTGCAGAAATAAATTTTAATCTCGAAAACGGTTTTTTTTACTTTCCCGAGTTTCAAAGAATCATATTTTTGGGATTTTTGTTGAGTGAATGTTGTAATTTTTTCAAAACACAACTAAATTAAAGCTGATTTTAATCAATAAATTTTTTTTAATAATAATTACTTTTACAATATAGTCATAATATGTGTCGAAAACATGAAAAATCAAATATTTACGTGAAAATTTAGGAAAACCGAAATGTAATAAAACACTCGACAACTTTATTTCCAACCAAACACGAAATGCATTAAAAATAACTATGCAGCGATAATGCCCTCGGAATTTGAAATGCTCGAAATCGCTAGCACCAAACGAGCAGCAATGTCAAAGAAATTTGCGCAAACATGTATATTAAAAATTAATTAAATTGGTACTCGAATGCCAAAGCGTTACCAGCAAAACAATACAATGGTTCGCGAAAGGAAGTGACGAAAAAAACAGAAAGACTGTACTGATAAATACGCAGGGCTATCTCTCCCGGTACCATGTCTCATCTTCCTCGGGCTTTTGATGATTCGCTTAACGCCCGAGACAGGACGTAAAAGAAGCTCTCGGGCGTCTCTACTGCGCGGCTCGTTGATTAAAAAATTTTTTCAACTCTCAAAAGCCAAAGCTTCTGATGCTAGATTTCTTCATTCCTCCCTCTAAAGTCATAACGAATCCCTCCTTTGAAAGAAAAAAAAAATTGTATCGTTGCATTGTAATGTATTTATTTATTTTAATTTTTTTTTTATTTGTTAACAAACCCCAGCAACCGGACGCTTGCGATGATAATAAATGTCTTAAGCCTCCCCCTTTTCCCCCACGAGCAATTTCTCAAATATGGCATCTCCAGAGCGCGGAAAGCGTCCTCGGGAGCGAGCGACTTAAAACTTTGATCGTAAAAAATTTATGTACAGAGCCGTAAGAAAGTACAAAAAGCCGGGAGATAAAAAAAAGCAAAAAAAAAAAAAAACTAGGCAGCTTTCCTCGTGGACGGAGGGGAAAATTTCCGTCTTAAAAAAAAAAAATAGGGTGGGTGTGCTTTTTTCATCCCTCCTTTCCTTTTTGATTCGGATTATCCTGAGAGACGCGCGAGATACACTCGAGAGAAAATTTCGAAGCGTGAAGTAGAAATGGGATCTGGGGTGGCAAAAAAATTTGGTTTTTGCGGTACCGTCTCTATATACACAACCACATACTGGCAGGGCAAAAAAATTACCCACGAAAGCGTAGCTAATGCGCATTGGATGTAAAAATATATGTATATACAGCTGTGGCATCATCGATGACGTACATATTGTTCCTTTGAACCGTGTAGTGGCGACGTAGAGGAAAAAAAGTGTGCACGTGTTGGAAGATTATTTCACGTGGACTGCATCGGTCCCTTTGTGCACGCTCGAAGAGCTAATGCTGTTTTATTTTACTTTTTCTTTTCTTTTTTTTTTTACGTGGGTTGAAAAAATTTGGAGATGCCGTCCGACTTTTTTTTATTTATTTTGTGAAATTTTACGGTAGATAATGATTACGGCTTTTGCGGACAAAAGAGCTTCAAAGAAGATGTGAGTGTTTTGTGAATATTTGTAAAAAGTGGCTGTTTTTTTTGTTCGTGGAGCTGAAAACATCGATCACTTTCTTAACGTTAAATAATTTGACTAAGTGGAGGTAGGAAAATTATTTCGTGCAGTAATAAGCCGAACGTCAAAGGCTTAATATTTTGCGCTTCTTTGGTCAAGCGGATTTGCGTTTCATGACTGTGTCGTGCTTTTGAAGATTCGATGTATTCGTACTTATCAGTTTTTATCGTCCTGAATACGTTTGGTACATTGCTATTTTGTAAAATACT